TCCAGAGTGAGTTGACAGTTTAGAGGATTTTTGTTGTCAACCCAGGTCACCTTTCTGTGGTCTAGCAGATGTTTCCCGAGCTCTGAAAATAAATATCCTTTGGCTAAGAAAATTTTGTCCCATCTATAGTAGAACACTCTGAAATCAATTCTCAATTTTTTTCAATAATGCCAACTCCTACATTCTTTAAACCAAATTTTATCATAGATCTGTGTTTAAGCTCTATTTTTTTTTATTATAGCTGTTGTTATCTCTTTGTGATACTATGAGACAGACCTTTTCTTTTTTAAAAGAATATAACGCTAAAGGTATTTCTCTTCAATGCTTAGAAAACATTTCTTAGAGCACAGGAAGGTGGCCCATGGTTGACAGTAAGGGGCTTGTGTGCTGAGGGAGCTTGAGCTTCGCCTTTTGGCTGCCAGAGCTACTGGCAATCTTTCTGTGGGGTAGAGCCATCAAAAGAATACAATGCCCCAGGAAGCCAAATACCTAATGGAAACATTTAAGCACCTTAAGCTCCTAAAGTCCTCTTTCAAAAGCACATAAACCGAGGATATGGGGAAGCCACCAAAGCTGCATATTTTCCATGATAATTCATGCTCTGTGCAAAAGCCATATTTGAATCATGCAAGGAGATCATTATAAAATCAGCAAAGCATAAGCATACTAGAACCACATAACACATGAATATATGAATTAATGAGATTCCCCCTAATTTTTCCAAGCAGATCAGGAGACAGTTAAATTAACCAATGACTTAGCTTATACTACTGCATCTCATCAGCATAAATGGACCAGCTCATATGAGAAAAGAACAGCACACTTCACTGTTTACAAGCCAGAGCAAAGCTACTGCTAAAGCACTTGCATTTCTATGATATGTGGGCTCGCAACAGGAGGGAGGCAGAATTTCAGTGCCCACTCAAGCCTTGGCAAGGTGCCACTGTACATGATACAACAATCGACATTAAAACCCTATGTTGATTATCCACCCACTGAAGCTGGGCTCTTAAGATTGTTTTCCTAACTTGGTCATTTTACACAGCATTGCAATGAATAAAAGGGTCCATAGGTTTTCGTTAAATAGACATATGGGAGTAAAACCGCTAGCACATATATTAGAGCTGTTTTTAATATTTCTGAAGAATCTCTATTATCTTTGCTACTAGGGCTGGATCACTCTACATTCCTGCCAATAGTGTTTGAGGACAGTTTTTTTTCTCTACATCTTCACCAACATTTGTCTCTGGTTTGGGTCATTCTCAAAGATTAGAGGTGGTAGCTCCTTGTGATTTTGATTTGCATCTTCTTGATGATGTGAAATACACTATGGAATACTATGCAGCTATAGAAAGAAACAATGACGTTATGTTAAGTGGAAATTGTAAGGATGACAAAGTCTAGATGATTTCACCCTCTGTGGAATGTAAAGACACAAAACAATAGAAGGAACAGACAAAACAAAACCAACACCAACCCTAGAAATTAGCATGAGGCCACCAGGAGAGTGTGGAACTAGCAGGAGGGAAGTGGCTCAGTGAACTACCGTGAGGGGGGGTATGGGAACGTGTTTGGTGGGCATGGTGTGGTGACAGACAGCTGCAGAGGTGTGAACCTGCAACTCTAACTCATGTACAGTGTTGTAAATCAAAGAGATGCCATTTTCAAAAAAGGGCTGTGTTTAGGAGAGAGCCTGTAAAATGCAGATAATGGGGGAAAATACATATTTAAACCAAACTTCTAACTCCTAGAGAACCTTAAAGCAATCAATCTTTTTTAAATAAGAAAGAAACTAAGTCAATAGCATCTGAGCAACAGCTGAGATTTAAAGCAAAATCTGTTGGCAAATGGCGACAGCTTTTGTGTTCTTTGTTGTTGAAAATATGCGTGCAGCAGCAACTCCAATATGCTCACAAACTTAGATGCAAAAGGCTATGGAAAACAGTTTCTATTTTTACACTGGAGATAAAATCAAACAGCACCTTTCAGATCTTAATTTGGCTAAAATAGTAGAAAGAAATAAACCCTAGTTTGCTAGCTGTCTAAAGTACCTGGGGCTTATGATTGCCACCAGAGGATAATACCGCATGTACTGGACCTCAGAAAGTGGTCTCTGTACTACTGGCAGTGGAGGTATGAACCTGCCAAATCAGATAATCTGAAATAAAATATAAAGTTAAGATTTAATTTAGCAATAGTCAAGAAAATATGATCTGTGGAGCTCTAACCACTTTGATAGTTATAGACTATTTTAGTCAAATCCTTCTAATCCACTTAATTAAGGAGGAATTTTTTTCCTTGTAAAATTACAATGCTATTGTAGTAATAATGTTGATAATAACAATATTTGTTTTCTGCTGATGTGTAACAAATTACCATAAGTTTAGTGACTAACAGAGTTGACTGAAATGAAGATGTTAGGCTGTGTCCTCTCTGGGGTGCTGTCTGGAGAGACTTCATCATCCGAGGCCCCCCATGACCTGGCACTCATTGCCCTTTCCATCTGAAGCCAGCCAATACTTCATTTCTCTGTACCTTTCTTCCACATTACAGTTTCTCTTCCACTTTTCAGGCCTTTTGTGGTTATAATAGGCTCCCTGAGAAATTTAGAATAGTTACCTTATTTTAAGGTCAGTGGATCAACAATCTTAATTCTCTGTTGCCAAATGTAACTTACAGGTAGCAGGTCATCATACAGACATGGTAGGCAACCATTATTTTGCTTATCACAATAACTAATATTTATCAAATTTTTAATACCTGATCGGCACCATTCTAAGTACATTACACACAACTAAACAAATATAATTTGCAAAACGAAGGGAGGATCATTATTATTCCTGTTTTCCAGATGAGAAAACTGAGGCACAAAGAGATTAAAAAAGTATCCAATGTCACCTTTACAAAAAGTAGAGGTGATGGTGTTGAACTCAGAAGTCCACAGGCAGGCTTACAACTATAGTCTCTATACTTCCCAGCTTCAAAGACAAGTCCCATCTAAACACATTTTCAATTACAGGTATTTTTGTTAGCAGGATGCTTCAGTCACAGCCTATAAATTCTGGAAATTGTGACAATTACCCAGAATAAAATTTAAAATTCAGAATGTCAAGTAGTAAGAGAGTCTACAGAGACTCTTAAAACAAATCAGTATCTCAGTATCTCAATATACATAAGGTCTATTATTTGTGTCCCCTAAATGTCACATTGCAGTGCCAAGTTCTTTTAAATAAATATTATAATGGTAACATATACATTATATATTATATATGCATTTTAATATAATATATGTGATATATACATGAATATGCATGTATATATGGAAAGAGAAGTGAGACTGTTTGATGACAAATAACACCCAGTATTCCTAAGAGAACTTATCTTTTGAGGGTTTATTAAAGGTCATCAAACTGGTTCATCAATTTTCCTCTCCCATCACTCAATTTCAGCCTATGGAGAGGGATTGTCTTCGATGTGATATCACAGGTATAAAACAAAGTAATAGAAAAGGAAGTTTACCCTTTCAGCTCTAGAACACCTCTCTGGGAATTTGGAAGCAACTGTATGAGAAGAGACTCATCCATCCCCTGCATCTTTCTTTGGTGACTTGCAAACATTTACTGACCTTCCCTGCACCCCACCCCCAACCCCCACAAACACATGCCAGCATTCCTGGGGTGCTTCCATGTGTGGCTTTAGAAGTGGGGGAAGCACAAAGTCTGTGTCTGTAGAAGTCTGAGGATGCCAGGCTAGATGGGGCAACTCCACAGCAGATGAGACGAAGGAGAGCCGGAGAGCAGGCCTCACTTACTGCTGTCACTTGGAAGGCCAAGAGAGCAAAATTCTAGTGAGCCACGTAGACGCCGCAGAAGGAAGTTAGGCTAACTCAAACTTCCACCATCTAAGAAGTTTGCCTATGAGAGCAAGGAGAAACAAGGGCTGTGCTGTTTGAGGCCAGAGGCCAAGGTCAAGGAAGCCTCAGGAAGCCAGTGGGAAAATGAACGTCCTTCATCAGTGATGACTAAGAAGACCCACAAGAGTGGGCCATCCCAAAGACCAGGTGTTACTGGATAATACTCTAATTAAGTAAAAGTCTCTCCTGTTTTAAGGATAGCCTTCCTTTCTTGGGTCCAGAAACTGAAAACAGGAGAAGGAGGCATCCTGCCTCCTTTACATGCAAGGTCCTTGGAATTGAGGCCTGAGGGGCAAGGAGGAAGGGAGTTTTAACTAAGGTAGCTTGGATGTCTTAACCATTGGTAAAGAACTTGTTGAAACCTAAATGTAGCCACAAAACCATCAACTGGAGAGCAGCGATGACACCCAGGAGTGGGCATCTTGTCAGCACAGCACAGCATATTTGAAAGTAACTGGAGGCGCTGTGCCCCAGCTGTATCTGAGAGCCATGCATCATCCATGCCCTGACTGTACCTGCAATCCTCTCACAATCCCACAATGCCTACTGCATTTTAGTGCAGTGAAGCCATGCACCACGTGTGATACTTGTTCAAATGGGGAGGCTCAGGGGTGCTGACGAGGACCAGCTGCCCCCACACCCAGTCACCTCCTCCCAGCACCAGTATGTCTGCATAGGAGACACCACTGTGTGCAGAGACCAGGCCAGGCACACATCTAGAATCACAGGGGGCGGGAGGTGAGGTCATCTTCTTAACTGAGAGGTGTGTTTTAAAATAACAGGTGAGGACTGCCTCCTCTGTGCTGACAGACGGTGCATCTCCTTTAGCACATAATGCTTTGGAATCCAGGGCAGTAGGCACTGCCCACCCCTTTCTCAGACAACAGATGTATGAAGCTCTGGTCATCACCAGGAGCTTTGGGAACCCCCCAGGCAGGCTCCTTCTGCTTCTGTGGGAAAGGAACAGTATAGGTTCAGGTTTCTGTGCCTTTAGCTGAAGAGAATGAAAGCCTGCACACGTGTTGCCTGGTTTCATCAGGCAAAACAAGAAAAAAAAAAAAGCAAAGCCAATGCTCCCTTCTCATACCTCAGCATGGCACCGAAGCCTTTCCTCTTCATTTTCCTTTCTGGATCGTCATTTTCCTCTTTCTGCTTTTTCTCCTTGGCTTTCAGCTTGCCCTTTTCCTTCTTCTTCTCCTTCTCCTTGGTTTTTTTAATTTTTCTGGCTCTATTCTCCACCTCCTCTTGCTCCAAGTTCCCGTGAGGGGCAGATTCACAATTCTGAGCCCCTTGGCCAGAGTGAGAGCTCTTATCAGACAGACTATCTATACAGGAAAAAAAAAAAAAAATCAATGCATGTGGTCTCGGGCACTTACTGTTCATATAGCAAGAAAAGTTAAAATGTAAAATACAGAAAGAATGAATAAGAGTACTTGGGATTTTGACCCTGCCACGTGGCTACTTGGACTTTGAAGAGACAATTGCTTAAATCTGGTTACTTCAAGCAAGATGTGATGTTGGGAACTGACAATGGTTGCTTAGACATGGAATGAAAGTTTTGATAAGTGGTAAGACACTAATCTTGCTGAAAGCCAGCTTGCTAACCTTGATCAGCTCAGAAAGCTCACCTGCTGGGAAGCAAACAGAGTGAGTTTATTTCCAGGAGAGATTTTTGAACACAAACAGAATCCAACTGCTTCTGCCCAATTAATGCAGTCAGTCCTCAGGTTGCTGCTGCTTCTAATGACTCCAATAAGAATGTCAAGAAATGCACACTTAGAGTTCCTATCCTAAGGGTAAATGACAGTTGGTCCTTGTAGGAAAGTGAAGGAGAACATTTCTTTAGCATTTGCAATGTAAAATAAATTGCATATTGCATTATCCAATTCCATGTTCGTTAAGCCAAAGGGCAAAACATATCAGGAAAATGAATTACTTTTAATATCAAAAATATAATTGTAGTTCTTAAATCATTTTTCTCTGTAGTTAAGCACACATTTTTGCTATGCTTTGTGGATAATAACAAGATGAAGAAACCACTGAAGGGAGCACGCTGCCTACCAGCTTCCAGTTCCTCGGGTCCATCATAAGACTTGTCGATGGCGGCTCGGAAGCTTTCATTGCAGCCACGGCCACGAACCATGTGGGGCCGAGGCCTGTGGAAGGGAAGTTCATTCTTCCTGACCTCAGCAACTGCAGTCTGGAGGCTCTCCAAGGAACTGGATTTCTTCAAACCCAATGTTGGACCGAAATCTTTACTTGGAGAGTCTGGAAAAGACAGGGCAAAGAGGTCATCCTTCTTTTTATGAAGCAGCATGGTGTCATGGAAAAGCTTGCTGCTCCAAAAATATTTCTCTTTGGGCATCTTAAAAAGGGGATGTTAAGAGAATGGGACTTAGGGTGAAATCCCAGCTCTACTGCTTTTTGTGACTTTAAGTAAGTGTTTAAACTTCTCTGAACCTTAACTTCCTTACTACAAGGTTGACATAAGACTTAAAATAAGATCTATCCAATATATGGATATTATATATAATGCACAGAAATACACATTCACGTGTGTGTGTATATATATATATACATATATATATGCTTGTACACACAAAATAATCTGAAAAGTTATAGCTGTGTATTGTGATTACATGTGTGAGAGTGTATGTATGTATGTAACCACACACACACATTCACAGGTTCACATGATGCAAGGCACCTAACATACACACTTCATTCCCAGTGCCCATGTGAGACACTCCTGTAAGCTGCATTTCTAACAGCACCATCACTGTCACTGTAATACAGTGCAACACACTATGTGCAGAAATCAAAGAACATTGAAGTGCTTGTCAATTTTGGGATTTAATCTTTACCATACTCCATTGGTTGTCTATGTTTGGTGAATGCAATGTATTTAGCCAATAAATAAATAAAACCAAAGTAAGTATGAGACAGTATCTATTTTGTATTTGTTTATTGTTTTAAATGTTTTTCCATCTGGGTATCTAGAAAAGGGCACATTTTTTTTATGTGCAAAAAATTGCCTCCAAAGGCCAAAAACCTATGTGATTTTTAAGAATTTGTTTTCTAGATCCTCCCTGGTGGTACAACGGATTAAAGCCCAGCACTGCAAGCTGGCTGCAGTGGCTTCAGTTTGAGTTTGATCTCCACTGGAGGTGACCCACATGGCACAGGAGACTTCTCCTGTTTTGCCTGCTCCCCTCAGCAGTGTTCTTCGTTGATCTGTCTGTTCTGTTCCCCACTCTGTCTCTGGTGAAGCCTCTCGCTGCCCCTGAGCCTCTGGCCTGTACCCCAGTTCTATATCCATAAATAAATAAATCTTAAAAAAAAAAATTTGGATTCTGATAGATATTTTTTTTTTTGCCCTGTTAGTCTTGCCCTTGACTTGCCCCTTTCACCCATGTCTCGACCTCTATTGCCACCCAGAGCCAGGCTCCCTGCTGTCTATAACAAGATTAGGCTAGATAATTACTGACAGCTCAAGGATGATTTTGAAGATGGAAGGAATTCTATCAGGGCTCATTTCCACCTGGACCAGAACTTATGCTACCTTCCACTTAAGAAAGAGAGTCAGTCATGAATAGATCACACTTGCCTTTCTGGAAATAAGCCACTTTGCAGTGTTTCAAGAGATGTATGCTGTATGCATATTAAAGATTCTGAATATGGACTTTCAGCTTCCATGTTCAACACATAGTAGGGCTCAATCACACCATTATTTCCTACAACCACTATTTTTTCTTCCACTGTTGTCACCACCATGAACACTGCCACTAATAGTTTCATGCAGTATTAAGTAATAAAAGGAATGTACAAGCACTGTGACAACGGTCTAATGCATATAGACACACACTCAAAATTAAATAAGAACAAACACCGCCCTCACATGTTCTGTATAGGTTATAGTGGCAGGCCAATGGCAATGTGAGCAGCTAACAGTACATGGAGTGCTTTATCCTGCTCCAAGTGCTGTACTTATATTATTTATTTATTTATTTATTTTTAAAGATTTATTTATTTATTCATACAGAACTGGGGTACAGGCCAGAGATGCGGAGGGTGAGAGGATTCACCAGAGACAGAGCGGGAAGCAGAACAGGCAGATCGATGAAGTACACTGCTGAGGGGAGCAGCGGGCGGGTCAGGAGAGGTCTGCCGCGCCATGTGGTCACCTCCGGGGCAGGCGGGAATCGAACTCATTCGGAAGCGGCTTTAGTTTCTCAGTGCAGTGCTTTAACCCGCTGCGCCACCAGGGAGGGCCCACTTATATTATTTTACTGTAATCCTTACAATTGTGCAGCTGCTGCTCTTATTAATCCCACTTTACAAATGAGGAAACTGAGACACAGGTATATTCCTAATAAGTGTTGGAACTGGGTCCTCTCTCTGGGCCTCTGTCTCCAACTTTGTGCTCTGTACTGCACAAAGATGTACTTGGCCTCTCCCTGTGATGGTTAGCTGCTTGAGCTGGTCTACACTTTCCTCATTTCTCAACAAGGGCACTGGTCTATATAAGCTTGTCAAGCAGGCCAGCTACAGAAGTTAGATGTTACCTTGTAGTTAGATCATGAACTTATAGGAGGAGAATGCACTTCACATACTACACATGATGACAATAATGCTGCATTTTATAGAATGAGATTATGTAAAAAAAATACAAGAAATTTCAGGGACAAATTGCATGTGCTACTTGCAATTTGTAAATATCAGGAACATGTTGCTACTATATCCAAAAGGAGGCATATTTCTTATATTCCCAGGAAGGCAGATAACTTGAAGAAACAGAAATTGAATAAGATCTTTTTTTGACAAGAAAGCAAAAGGCAACCTAGAGGTTTGGGGTATTGAAACAACAGCAAAAGCTTTGGAGTTTACAGAAAATATTTTACATCACCAACCCCTAGGGATATCTGACATGAAGTTTGGTGAAAACATGAAAACTATCTGAGAAAGCCTAGTTCCTCTGTCAACAATAATAACCATCTTTTATTTATTAATTGCCTTTCAGGAGGTTTTATGAGAGACCAAACTAGGGGCACTCAAGTCAACCTTTAGCAATAAATTTCAAGAAACATGAAAATGAATAAATCAGCCAAGAGATAAGGCTAGATATCTAAAGGAGCTCATCTAAAATCTCAGCAAGAAGTCACATTTGAGAAGGAACAAACACACTGTTACTCATTCTAATAAACTGATCATAAAAGCTCATGGAATTTAATAGAGTCAGCAATGAATTTACTTTATATAACCAAAAGTCACAAATAAGAAGCATCAATTGACACTGGCCAAAATTACAACCCAACCAAGCTCAACCAATTTAGGATGGTTGACTTCTGGGTTATAAATGTGTACTCAGGGTATTTCAGGCATAGAGTAAAATATATTTATTACTGGGAGAGTAACAGGATTTAGGAGGAAGGGAAACTGATGCTTTATTGGATAATCTAAAATCAGAATGTCCTGACAAGGGCTTCTAGGTTTGATTGATATGAATCTCCAACTTAAAGGGGGCTCAGCCCTAAACTTGACCATGGTTCCACACTTCCTTTGTGTCACAGGACATTTGACAGAAGGTCAGTGAGGTGATGAAGGGAGGGGGGCTATTGTATTGATTAATGGGTAGTAACATTAATGCAAACAAAGCACCTATATCAAGTACCTGGCCACAAAAAGATTGTGTGGAGTACAAAAACTCACACTCATTCCCTCTTTCCTACTCCTGTCCTGACCAAGTCCAATTTAGGCTGACATTGCTTAGGAAACTCTATAGCTTCTGCCCTGGCAAGACTCAATGTCTGTTTTTAGTCTACTCATATGCAAATCACATTTTTTCCAGGCTCTCACTAAAAGTCAAGGTCTCTTTTAGGGCTTACATAAATTTAGCAATTACTCGAATTTAAATTCTCTGTCTATCCTCATCAAGTAATCCAAAAGTCTGGTGACGCCTCACATTTTCATCTGTAGACCACATGATACTGACCGATACTGGTTGTGGCTGATTTTAAGTCATTGAGAGTGATCTGTGAGCACAAATAAATAAATCTTTTTTAAAAAAATAAAAAATAAATAAATAAAGGCTTCCTAAAGGAGTAACTGCAATTTTTTTTTTTTTTAAGATTTATTTATTTGTGCATACAGAACTGGAGTACAGGCCAGAGGTTCAGGGGTGGCGAGAGGCTTCACCAGAGACAGAGTGGGGAGCAGAACAGGGAAATCAATGAAGTACAC